CTCGGGAGCGGTGCTTGTGGGGTGTTGCCGGTCTGTGGTAACGTGCTGGGTGCCCACGTACAAAATGTCCGCCTGCCCCAGCGCCATGCTCGCCGGCTGGGGGGCGAGCGGTGTGTCCAGGGCCTTCCAATCTGAGGTGAATGTTGGCGAAGTAATTGATGCTGCTTTTGGGAGGAAAGAAGTTTGTGGGAAATAATCAGCTAGTGACATGTTGGTTGCTTTTCTTTCCTAGGAGATCTGTCTGGCGGGCCGGCTGTTAGGAATCGAGCCGCAGGAGAGGCGGTGAATGAGGCGGCGAATGATGCTGAGCTGCGGACTGTAAGTACCAGCCGCAGCCTGTGCAGTGAAGGGTGCCGTTGTTACATGTGTTGGGTTAGGATTTGGCATTAAGCTGTTCTGTGTCTGGGCGTTGTGTTTGTCAGGCCTTGGGGGAACCGATGTTACTGGCGTACCTGCGGTGCATCCAGGGTGTGGGTGCAGGTTGCTGTCAAAAATCACGATTCCTAACAGCAAAGGGCAGGTTGGGCCCCTGTGCTGCTGTTTTAAGTGTACTAGCATGAGTTTAAGGGCTAGTGTACTTCTAAGCCTGCATTGCAGGTTTGGAATGGGGTATTCCCTCTTTGTTCCGAGAATAACTTGGAGGTCGCTGTAGCTGTATAGGTTAGAGAGGAAATAGAGCTTAATATTGTGAGCAGTCGTGGCTGTGTTCTGTAGCTATTTGTTCTGGCCTGCTATTGTTTACTGCTAGTCTATATACGTTTACTGTATTTTTAGACTTCAATTTGCTGTTGCGTGCTTTCGACTTCCCGTGCTTTTGGGAAGCCTTCCTGAACCCATGCAGTAATCTGTACTCTGAAACATGAAAGTTACCGAGACAATAGCAGGTTATCTGAGGACATTAGATGAGTTCTGCTATAATGTCTTCAGATGCTAAATTGTGTGTAACTACGTTTGAAGTATCAATAGGTATGGTGATGGATTTGTGAAACTTTAAAAGTCCAATAAAATTACAAAGATACACATAGACAGGGCTAGTAAATGACTAATGAGCAGGTAAAATAAATAACTCAAGGCTATTCTATGGGAAGGACAGGCTCCTCTACTGCCTGTTTCAGTCCCTTTTGTATAGATTTGGGCAGCTGAAGGGGTAGACTGGGTTGTCTTGCAGATTCAACTGAAAATTAACATTTTGTTTGTGGGGCTAGTCTCTGTGTGGATTGATAATCTGTGAACAAAGGGTTGACAGGTTGTTAGAGCAGGAGGCTTTGTCATGCAGTTAGCAAAAGAACAGAGGGAAGGTGGCTTTGCTTCTGATGGTGATACTGTCTTAGTTTTAAAATGTTGCAAACCCCAGTGAAGTATTTGTGTGTGACTTAAAACTGTAATATTCTTACAAGTAGAAGAAGCTGTTGGCTATGTGTATGTGTGCTTATACAAGGGAAAACTTACTCCTAAATACGGAGAGGATTAAAACATTCATAACTCATATCTACAAGTTTCTGACTAATCTGAGGCAATTCTGAAGTTAGCCTCACTTTGAGCAGGAATTGGACCAAAAGAGCTGCAGAAATCCCCTCTGACCTAAGTTGTGCTATGGATATCTTGAGATAAGTGGCTGCAACTTAACTGTTACTCTGAAGTTTATATGTTTATACAAATGTTTATACATTTGCTTGTGGTTCATAGAAAAATCTTTGAAGTTTACTGAAGGCTGTTCTTGTAAGTTTACCCTGTTAGGTGGAGTGGTGGAATGCTTGTTACCTGATGAACCTAGAATTTTCTTCAGTTTTTTGAATTCTTGTAGGTTTTAGGGCAGACTGAAGCATGACTGATACTGATGAATCCCAGGCTTCTGGCTCTGATTACCCTGATGCCCAAGAGCTAATATGCAGTCGTCAAAAAAACCCATATAAGATACACTCATGTGAAACACGAGCAGAGTGTTCACGTTCAAGGCAGAAGAATGCTGCTCCCGGGAAGTCTTCAGATGAGCTTAACGGTAGATGTAAGTCGTCAGCTGCTTCAGCTGAGGTTGTACTGGACAGCAGTGATTCAGAAATGTGAGTTTTTTGTCTGTAGTTGAGAATTTTTTATGTGAAGAACCTGTGTCATATAGTGCAAAAGTATTTGTTCTTTTGAAAGTAAGTATTTTTTTTTCTTCTGCAGTGATCTACCTGCTGCTAGTGGCAGTGGGTACCATCCTAAGTGCTCCACTGCGCCTTCAAAGCAAAAAAGGTCTCAGTCTTCAAGGCAACAGGATGAATCTGTTGCAGGAGTGCCAGACAATGAAAGCTCTTCAGATTCTTCTCTATCCCCTCAAAGTCCAGTGAAATCAACAGAAACTTCCAAAAAGCAGAAATCAAAACTCAATTTGAAAGCCATTTTTGCCTATCACTTCAGGGGAAAGAAGTTTAAGGCTGCTGCACACCGAAAATACAAAGTTGGCTCAGGGAAGAAGAAGAAGAGGAAGTATGTGAGCACGCAGATGCCTACGGGGAGGCCACCACTGACAGCCTCACCTCAAGAACAAAAGAGAAGGCTTTTAGACAGAGGTTTTCAATTCCCTTTTGTTGAAAAACATTATGGGAACAAAGATCTTCCCTTGAAGATGGTTCTTGCCTATGAGGTGAGTCCTGTTTTGTGGGATAAACGTATTTTTTTTTATTTTGTCAAAAAATAGTGAATTTAAATTGGCTATGTTGTGCTTTTACAATGCTACAATGAAACAGTTTTTCCTTGTGTTAAACAGGACACTTGATGTTGTCTGTTTAATACCTCCAAGACAAAAACTGCTAAAATACATGAGTCTGTAGTATTACAATTCAGTTCATAATATAAATGCTTTATAGTAGTATTTTTAAGATCTCACCTGAAGTATTTTTTTCTTCAGCAAGCAGCTGCGAGGGGATATTTCCAGTACATTGAAGTGCTTAAATATGAAGAGCATCTTAAAAAAGCTTTAAAAGCCCTTCAGGCTAGTGAAGACTTAGAAAGAGAATGTATAGCAGTACGGAAGCACAAATATTTAGATGATGAAGGCCCCATTTCCCCTATTCAGGAGACAAAGTAAGTTCATCATTACATTTTTAGGTGGTATAAAACTTGCTTTTTTGCTCTTAAGTAAAATCTAAATTTGTGTATACAGGTAGATGAATGGCACCCCACTCCCCACCCCCCAGCTCTTGGTCACCTCCAGCCTGTTTGCTGCTGTGGGGAGAGCATCAGCACTGCTTTAGTCACAAATCTAAAACAGCACCGTAGAGGTTGCTATGGGTAAAGCTGACTCCATCTCAGCCAGACCAGTGCAGTCTGCTACTGTTACAGCTGAGGAAGTTGGGAAGTAGTACAGTTGCTTGTAGTAGGGTATGATTTTGTGACAGTTGTGGGTGTATCAAGTTCAGTTTCTATCCTGTCCTTTTAACCTGTATCATCATTGTGTAATCTAAATGTGAATATGTGCTTGTGAAAGCATTGTTTATTTTGGGAAGAAAGCACTCTGCCACTTGGGATTCTGTGCTTGTAAATGCGACTTGGAACTACTTCTAGAATTAGTTTTGTTTTTTTTTTTAAATCTGAAGACTGATCATTCTTTCAAGTGGTGATTTGTATTGTCTCATTAAAATGATGTGGTAGAAATCTTTAAAAGAAAAACGTATTTCCTGAAATTGGTTTCTATGTAGTTATCCAGAATAAAGAAGTGGAGTGTCCTATGGCAAAGCCTAAAGGATTTTTTTTAACTTCCTTTTTACTTTAAGCATTGAAGTATCATCTTAGGTCTTTATGGTCAAACAGTTAGCTTACATGCAATAAAGGGATCAGTAAATCAGCAAGGATACTTAATGTTGTAAATATAGTCAGCACCTTAAAACTAGAAAGCCTAGAAGACTGTAAAGGTACACAGCAGTCTTTCCACTACTGTTCACTTTAGTAATCACTTCCACTGCTAATTTGAGTTGAAATACTAGGGTGAGCCTGTGAAATTAGTAACAGTAATTAGTTTGCTCTCTTACAAAAGAGCAGAAGAAACAAAGTTCTGTAGAATAAATGCAAGCCAGCTCATCCATTCAATTCTTTATATGAAATGAGTACTAGAAGACTTCCTAGGTTTTGGAACCAGTCCTCAATGTGCCAATTGTTGAAATCTCAGTACTAGAATGATTTAATCTCTTTCTAGGGAGTCCTATCTTGAGAGCAACCTGTGGATGGTAGTGGAATTGAATTTCATACTGGTGTCTTGTAGCAGTATGGTGATAATATTTCTCAGTTACAGTATCAGGAAGAAAGCTGTGTACTTTTGCTAGCTGAGGCCTATCCTCTTATTTTCTTGATTGTGTTCTGCTTGTTTTCTGACTGGTTTGGTTTCTAGTGTGTTCACTGTGTAACTGTAAACATCTCAATACTACTGTTGATGTCTGCTATTAAATCTTTGTTCTGCTGCTAAGCACTGCTGTCCTGCCAGTGTTGCTAGTTAGGATGTAATTCTGCTGTCAGAAGCTATCCTTTGAGAACAACCTTATGTAGAAGTAGTATTATCTTTCACCTACAAGCTGTAGCACTTCCATACACATCGAGAAACCTGGTGTTGTGGTAGGAAAATAGTTTACGCAATTGAGACACGTTTTAGACTACTACAGAAGTACAGAGCTTGATTTGAATTTTTATATTTCAGTGATGATGACAGCTTGAATTCTGATAATCAAGAAGACCTTGATGCCAGAGTAGTGGTGAGTAAATATTCCTTGACTTAAACTCTCTAACTTTCTTTCTCTTCTGAGGTTGAAGAATTAGTAGATAATATTTTGAGTACTTAATTCTTGAGCTTACATCCAGAGTTACCTGTGTGATATCTGTGAATCCTGATCTGTAATGCAGAAGGAAGTTGTTTTGGAGAGTCCACACTCTCCTCTTTGAAGTAATGCTGGAATCTGTAGGAATTCTGGAGTTCTCTGAAGAGTTCTTAAAGTTTGTAGACTTGTGAAATACTTCTGTCTTTCATTTTCTTAGGATAACAGCTCTTTCATTATAAGCAGCAAAATTCCCAGTAAGAAAAAATCAAAGCCAGAAATGAAACGTGCAAGATCGACGGAAGTGATTGAAATAGAGGAGGAAGAAGACTGTGCTGCTGAGAACTCTGGCTGTCTGCAAGGTTCACATCAGTAAACAGAAAATTAACAAATGAGGTGGCAGTGGTTGCTCTTGGGCTACCCTTCTCATGGCCTAGTTGGTTTATAACATTGGTCTGAAGTCAATGTTGAGCTATCAACCAAGCAGCCTAGTTGCATTTGGTTTAAGGTGAGCATATTGCGCTTGTGTATGAGAGGGTTACAAAACAAGTATAATCTTTGTATTAAGTTTTTTAGAGTCCTCTGTGCTGTTCTGTACCAAGTGTATAATATCCTTGATTAGTCTTGCTGTTAGGAACATGACTAATGAATGTTTAGAAATGGTCTGAATACAGCTAAGTCCTAGATGACAGGGCTGTCTTGATAGCAGTAGAAATAGAAAAATATTTTAAAAGTTTACTTGTGAATCAACAAGATTTAAAAACCAAAGGGTGATCTGCCTCACTGAAATACTCTTAATAACCAAATTGCTGTCAGCAAAAACTAACTTTTCAGCAGGTAAAAGTAGTCTGTGCTGAACAGGGATGTTGTCAGAAAAAGACTTAAAATCTACTGGTTTAATTTGCTTCAAAAGGTAGTTGACAGTTTGAGGAGATTTACAGTAGGTCCTCAGTGTAATGAAAGCAGGTCACGTTCCATTCCTTATGCTTAAATTAAGGTCCCAAATCTTTGTAAAGGAAACTTGGGCATTCCCGCTGGCAACTTTGTTGCTCTAGGGAGTAAGACTGCAAAGATTACTCTTCAGTAGTTGAAGATTACATTTAATATTGGTCCAAAATTAATGTCTAAATGTAACTCTTTCAGGCATCTACCTGAGAAATACCCTATGGCTTGAAAGACTCATCCTGGATCTAGGAGTGGTGTTCCTGCTTGGTAAGGCATGGCGAGGTGGTGTGTGGAGTCCTGCTCATTCTGCAGTTCATGTGATGAATTTTTCTGTTCAACTGCTGAGTGACTCAGAAATGAACTAAATTTCAATTCTGATTAGAACTGGATAAATACACATGAAAATCAAGCTTATTACAGCTGCTAAATTGATTGCGGAAACTGGCTTTTGGCTTTTAGAATCTTCAGCTATTTGACTGTATCTGATAGTTCTTATCACTTTGCTTTTTTTCTTCTAGCTTCTGTAGCCTTTGGAAGGTGAAACACTGCTCAGATTTCTTGATGTGCAAGGTAGGCTGTTACTTGGTTTGCTGTTCCTGTTTTTTTCAGGTAGCTTTTTTGCTTTGCTTCACAAAATGTTTTGGGAAAACAGTATTTTGTAGTTCAAGTATGAGTAGGTGATGGTGTTTCATAGCTGTGTAACTTCTGTGTGAAGCTTTCAAGGTATTGAGTTCAGTGCAACATCTTTGATCAGTCTGAGTGAGATTAGAGCTTGTATGGAGCCTCTGCTTTAATGAAAACTAAAACATTCAAGTTCTTGAATACCTGTATATTAAATGTGGGTTTTGTTAGAAGTTATTTATATAAATACTTTGTTTTTACCTGATGTTGAATACTGCAGGGTAGCTTAATCTTAGTCTGATGGGTTTGGACACTCCCTGGGACCTCCACTGAAGATACTGGAGAGCTACTGTACAGTCTGGTGGTGCCCCACCAACACTGTCTGTACTGGCCTGTATCATACAGCTGCAGCTTCTGATGGCTTCCCTGTGGTAAAATTTCATCTTAATGCATGTCCCACGCAAGAAGAGGGGGGACAGCAGAAAGAAGCTGGTAGTCTTGCACGTACACATTGCTAAAGCTGTGAAACTTCCTGCAGGATGTTACCAAGTTCACATGGCTTCAGGAGAGCCTAGGAGATGGCATGGAAGAAAATGCCATGTAAGATTACTGGATAGGAAAACACCCTTAACATGGGAAGCCCTGAGCTAAAGCTGGGCAACTAGTGAAACTTCACAAGAACATACTTAAGAGGGATAGGATCAATGCACCTTCTTTGGCCATTGCTGCCAGTAACTGTAGTGGACTAGAAAACACCAGTTTGGCACAGTGTAAGTCACTGCTATGTCAGCATATCTGATACAGAACTCCTTGCCACATTTACCTTAGTCCAAACTATACCTGTGTCTAAAAATAGAAAACAGTAGTGCAAGGTGACAGTTATTTAATTGTAAGTATATACTAGACTGAGAAATAACTTGATTTTTGTGTGCTATTCAAATGCTGCTTCAAAAACAGTGAAAAAATGAGAGTTGATGCAGTCAGTCTGTTCTAGCACATGTTCAGTTTTTGTCTGTTGCTGTAGACAAAAACCTGGAACCTAGTGCTTAGAAAAAACCCTTCTTTTGCAACCCACAGCTGATGAATGTATTAGTTGTGTTACTTGTATGGAGGGACAATATTTGCATGTATTCAAACAGCAATTTATTCAAATACTGATGAATCTAGGACGTGATTTCGTGTTCCTGATGTGGAGAAGTGTAGTTCAGTTACATAGATGTCTTTCCAGGCTTTGCAGATGAACACACCAGCACTGCAGCAGTTGAGCAGCTGTGACTTTTTTGATGTGCTTGAATTCTTATGGGTGTTTGTCCTTCTGATGTACAAGTCTGTTACTTCGGTGGACTTCTGTGGAATGTGTTAGCAAAAGAGGTGAGCTTTGCTTTTCTTCTGAGAGTATTGATTTCTTCACGCAAGTATTGTTTCCACAGCAAGTAATCAGACTAATTTTTGCACTGTAGGGTATCTGTACCTGGCAGTGTCTTCCTGATGGGGTGTTCAAAAAGCAGTGCTACAGCATTTCAGCAGCTGGCTTTGCTGGTTTTCACACAAATGTGCAGCTTAAGCTTGGTATTTCTGTTCAAACAAGTAGATTGAAAGTTTCTTACTGCAAAGCTCGTAAAATACAACATTGAATAACTGTTGAACTGTTGTGGGGTAGAAGTATCTTTTTGAAGCGGCGTTCCTGTGACATCTGGAACACAGTGGAAAGCCTCTACTTAAGGGTAAGTATTGAGGAATACTTACTTTTTTCCTAAGTGGAGGTAGTTGGATGAGGATCACAAAAGCTCAGGTCTTGGCTTTTTGGTTGCCTTTTTACAAAGAAGCAATATTTTACTTTCAAACACAAATCCAAGTACCAGATGACAGCTAGTGACATGTTTATTTTTAATATGTCTAGGCTTCAAAACCAGAAGCTATTCCACAGACATTGTGAAGGGTTAATTGTTATGCCTCGTTATTCAGCAAATAGACACGACTCACTGTGTGTCTGAATTGAAAAACGTGGCTAGAGGAGTAACAGGTTCTGCTTTCCTCACTGTAAAGTTAATTGCAGTGCTGACAATGAGACCTGTAACAGGTTCACTTTGTGGAAAAATTTGGCAAACGTGGTTCAAAATGCAGCTACTGTAAAATCCCAAGGACTAGCTTGTTTTGATGTTTATGAATTCTGCATGCTGGCTTCTAAAGGAAGTAGAATTAGCAGGTAAAGACATTCAGTGCTGAATTCTTGTAGATGGTATTATTAGAGCGTATTTGTAAGGTGTCTTACAATGGTATGTCACATGTGTAAAATGATATGTCATATGTGTGTTCTTCACATCACGGTACCAGCTGAGTGTTGGGTTACCCCCATAGTTGTACCTTCTGTGCCATAATGCTCCAGTTTCTTAAATTGCAGATAGATTTTGTTGGTAGTTGTATGATAGACTGGACCATGCCTCTGATTTCAAAAGAAGTGCTTTGTTTTCAGCATTAGCATTCAGACAGCATACTGGACTACAGTCTGTGTGCTTCATATTGAGTATAAAAGTATATAAGTCTTACAAAAATTGTTAAAATGCTGAAGAAACTTGGAACTATTACTCATCTGCAATAATTTATTTCTTTTTAGGGAGCCTGCCTGATAGTCCAGTCTGAACTAGTGTCTTGGTAAGTTAGTATGGCAGATTGTTTTTTCACCCTTGCCTGTTGCAGGTCAGCTCTCTTCCCTCAACTCGCTGAGCTGGTTATATTGCTGTTTTTCTGACTGAGAATATGCAGTGTTGCTTTAGAAAACGTAAAAGCTTATCTTCCTCCAAACTGGAGAAATGCTGTGAGGAAAGATTGTTGTGATGATTGGCAAAATGTTCAACTGCTCTGAAGAGAGTGAGTGAGAATAGCCTTTCTGAACAAATCTATTACATGAATGTCCTTTTCGTGTTGCTTTATTCTGGTCATCCATTCTCAGAATTTAACAAGCAGTATTTTCTGTCAGTGAGCAAAGATCATGACTCTGACCTTCTTTTAAAGAAAAAAATAAATGAAATAGAGAAGAGCTGTCAGATTAAATAAGATAATATTCAGACTTTATAGTAGCTTTAAGTATGATTCCAGGGTGAGAGGCTATCAGAGGTGCCAGTGGTGGTTAGAAACCACTGAAGTACTAAGTACTGCTCTAGGTTCTGCTGGTTTGTATGCACATACATGTCAGTCTGTAACCTTAACTTGCTTTTTCAGGTGATATGTAATTAGAAAACATGAGAGAAGAGATACAGAATGCTATTTCACTGAAATCTGAAGCTCTCTCTAGGTTAGTATGACATCTGAGGTATTATTCCTTAATGGTTGAGGGGCTCTGGTTTTCAGTGGCTGAAGTCTATATCAAATCAAGCTTACTGACTGGGGGAGTGTTTCAGGGACTCGCAGACTTGTCTCAACATATTTTAATGTAATATTTACTCTAAGAATTTATTTTTAACTTTGATTTGTCCAAAGAATGCTCAGACAAATTTCTCAGTCAAAAAGGAGTCAGCTTGACTGCTTACCCTGATAGTTTTATTTCTACAAGTTACACTTAGCAGGAAAGTTACAGTGAGGATTCTGTTTGAGTACAATTTAGTAGTTAGTTCCCTTTGTTTGCGTTTCAGGGAACATTAAATTTAAACATTAAAAATATTGCTAATCTGAAGCAGTTGCTTCATCTTCCCCAGACAGTGTATCACTTACCTTCCTCCTTCCCCCAAATATCTTGAAATAAGTAAAAAGACACTTAGTAGGATCTGTACAAGATGCTGCTTGACTTTTATCTATTGTGTTCATTTACAGTACTAGAAATGTTGAGGTCTATCCCGATAGGATCTCTTCTGTAGGTTCGTGTCGTTGGAAACGCCTCACAGAATAAACTTGCGGTTTTGCTTTACCCACTGAACTACTTGTTAGCTCTGTGGGATAAAACTGCAAGACAAATCTCTGCAGATGTAGCATCCTAGGAACTGTAATAATGCATTATGTTCTCCTTTAGGTACCAACTTATGCTTTTGATGCAAACGAAAAATTATTCAAGTGGAAAAGCTTTGTAAAAGTCAAAAGATTGGACAAGAATCAACACGTTGGATTACATGGGATGAATTTATTCTTCAGCCAGTTTTTGTGTATGTACCTGATTTCTAACATGATTTCATGTGGTTTGAATGTTCTGGATGGCTTGAAACAAATCTATTCCCCTTTTGATCTTGAAGGAGTGATCCTTTATTTCTTGTTTTGGTGGTTGTAGGTAAGAGACAGCACTATAGTATCTGTCTGAACTTGAAGTGCCTTCATAAGCGTGCTGCATTTTTGTTCTGTTTCACATAGATGCTTGGTGGTTCGATACTGAGCAGTGGTATTGAGATTTATGTCTGTAAACTGTTTAGTTAACCTCTGAGCAGCGCAGGCAGTTTACTACTACACTATTAAAACTCCTGGCTTCTGTTCTATAGAATGCAGAGTTTAAAGTAAAACAAGTAAAATATTCTGGAAGAAGAATATATAAAAACTTAAAAGAATTCTGAACATTCTGTTCCTGTTAGGTGAAATTCATGGAGTCTCTCTTCCCCATTAGTTGCATGGCAGCTCTTGTGAAATGAAGAGTGCATAAGTGGAGCTTATCATTAGACACTAATGGCGCATACTAAAAGCTTGAATGTTAAAATGAGTAGTTGTGGATGAACAACTGCTGCAGCTGTTGCACTGTATGGTATCTACACCCAGCAGTGTTCTCCTGATGGGATGTTCAAAAAACAGTGCTACAGTAATTCAGCGTTTGGCATCGTTGGTTTTCGTTCTGCTGTGTCCGTTAAACCTGGTATTTTTGCTGATACAGTCTTTGTCCTATTCGAGAATTTGAGCGTACTTGCTTTCTGTTTTCATGTTCCAGTGTGAGAACTCGATACTGTCCTCTGGAACTGGGCAAATTCATTGTTGGTTGTTTGTTTGTTTTTTTAAACAGGTGCTTTAGGATACAGAAAGATGTAAATTTTGGTGTGTTAAAAGGATTGTCTGTGGAAGATAACCTGTTTGACAGGTAAGTGCCGAGTTACTTGTCAGTTCAGAAGGTTTTATGCAGCTTTACAGAAGTTTGTGTGTTAACTTGGTGTGACTCTAAACATTGAAGTTCAGTCAACTGTTGTAAAAAAGTGTAGAAATTGTTTGTCTAGTTGCAGAGATTACTGGGCAGTGATCACCCCAGATTTTGGCAGCATCCAAGCAGGTTGCCTATCTGTGAGTCATCCTTGTGTGTGTATATACGTGTGTGTGTGTGTATACACTTTAGATAGATGTCAGAGTTGTGCAGCAATTTGTAGTACTGGTTTCTGAGTTAGACTGCTATTGGTTGTGAAGAATTCTTCTGTACTTGGAGTTTTGAATGGATGTTAGGCTTGTTGGTGTACACCGCTTGCCATACATACTGTCAGGATTGATTGGTCCTTAACAAGGAAGGATGGGCAGCTTGAATATTGGTGTAAGTCCCAGGTGTAAGTTGGTGGTAGCAGCAGTGAGAGGATAGTACCTGGTCATTACCAAGGCTGCTAGGATGTTGCAGTTTCTGGTGAGCTGTGGACATGACCATAAAGCAAGTCCCTCAGACTCTTGAAGTGTCACATGATGTGGCCCTAAGTCTGCTGGGAATAAAGCTTTGATGTAGGTCAGGGACACAGTGCTGCCTTCTGTGGCTGGTAAGATGAAAGAGCAGGGTCCTGCTGAGGGGCAGGTATGTGGCTGAATCACCAGTGGGCAACTCACTCTACAGAGGAACAGAAGTTCTAGTTAAACCTTTCTAACTTAGGACTCCAGCAGCTGCTGTTGAGAGGATGGTTGTCACACACACAAAAGCAAAAAGGGGGGAGACAAAAGGCTGCTCCCTGCAATTTACATCCGATTCATTTCAGTTTGTTATAACTCTTTACTGACAGTAACCAAATCTTTTTAACCCATAGTGTCTGTGGCCAAGTCACTGCATGTCAGAGGGGGAAGCACCACTTGAGTGCCACCAAAGCAAGTCTGAAGGTAAGAATGCTTACAAAAATCACTGGTACTACAAGGAAGCTCAAGGTCACTTCAAAGAGGGTTTGCATGGCTGAAAAACCAGCAGCTCTTAACGCGGTGACCGCATATTGAAATCCTCTGCAGGATGCCGTGGACACCTGGTGTGTGCTATGGTCTATTTATGAGGAGATACACCTTATGTAGTGAGGCCTCCTGGAGTGAGAAAGGATGTTTAACTACTGCCCTTAGTTTTTTTTTTGAGATGCAAAATGTAGGGAAGAGGCTGGAGAGTTTCAGTCTGAAGGCAGTTGACTTGTGCAGCATGTGAAGCTGGAGAACACCAGGTTGATAGTTATGGCATGAGCAGTCTTATAAGCTTCCTTCTCCCTGGGCAGTGTGATACATTGCTAGAGCTGCATCAAAGTCTGAGTGGCTGATTGGGGCATAGCGAGGTGATGGAGAGAAGCGCAGGGTGGGAATGCTATGGGCACTGTGAGTAGTTACAGGAAACGGAAAATTATGATACTGGAATCATGCTTTTTGCCCCTTAACAGTTCAGTAAGGGGGGGGTGTATGCTCATGTTCCCTGCATTACTGCTGTCCTGAAATAACGCCATGTCCTGAAATAATGTGGCTTCTTCTAGTCTGAAGCAATTTAATGCTAAGTGTGAAGACTTTAATATGAAGGAACACAGTTCAAATGGATTCTTTTTGAGTAAAAGTGCTAACAGATGCTTTTTCTTTTTCAGGTGCTGTTGCTGTGAGTCTGCTGCAAGGAAGAGCTGCTCATCTCTTTCAAATACAGAGAGAACCCTATCTACTGTGTTCATTGCAGTAATTCAGAATTAAACATTCATTCTAACTTCCCTTACTGCTGGGTAAATTGAAATAGTGCATGTTATTTGGTAACCAGTGCAGGAGCACAGGCAGCCTTTGCTCTTACCCTTTCAGTTGCACCTTGTCTGGTTTACCCTCTGCGGAAGTGTTGTGGTAACTTGGTGTTGCAGAAGAGCTAATGAAGCTGAGTGTACCAAGTTGTAACTTGACTGGAAAGGCTTTACTGACTGTTCCTCACTTCCCTGTCCCTGAATCCCACTGTAGTAAAGCTCTGGAGAGGTATTTATTCTGTACAGAATGTCACAGCATTTAAATAAAACCGATGTGAGAAAGCTGCAGCTTGTTTATATTCTTTAATCAAACAAAGGGGGGGGTGAGAAATCATGGTGGCTGATCACCTAGGGCTTGCTGGTAGCAAAGTGTAGTTATGAGAATATTCATGCTCCTTCAGAACTATGAGGGTGCAGATGAGAGAGACTACACATGCTATGCCTCTTATCTTTGCATGGTAAAAAGCCTCCACCTCTTCACTCCATGGAATGACAAGCTGGTTTTGTTTTGTGCTCTTTCCATGGGGGGGGAGGGGGGTAGTAACATCTTACCTTAGCTACTGCAGTACATGCAACTACACCATGCACTGAAAAAAAATCAGTGGAGTTAAGTGCTCATAAAAAATAAACTAAGAGTTTAAAATGAGGGGAAAAAACAAAACCAGATTTAACAAACCTGCTCTGTTATTTTACCTGCTGCTATCCAAACTCAACTTCATCACAAATGTTGAGCTTCACCTTTATCGTGTCATGATGATGTAATTACTTGGCTCTGAATTGGAGCTCAGGAAACTTGGATAGAACAACTACATCTGGAAGCAGTAAGTACAAGGCTTTTATTCTACCTTCAGGTGCTTTAAGATGTACCTCTTGACTGCAGGAATACCCACTTCCCAATCTTAAATCACATAGTGCAAAGAATAGATAAAAATTTCAGCTTTACAGGTGAAATTAATGTCTTACAGCCAGAGGATTCAAATCTTACAAAACCCAAAGTTTATTTGAAAGTTTTATACATATTACAAAAATTAGTATCATCTCCCTTTAGAATGCTAATGCACATCACAAAAGGCTTTTCACAATGTCAGTCCTGTCCCTCAGAGACAAACCATCTTTAAAGCAGTAGTCAAGCTGCTTCTGTAGCGATGTCAGTAAAACATCACAGTACTACACAGTTTGCTTACTTATGGTTTTCCTACAGCTTCAAGCTGATGAGTAATGAAGCCTGCAGTATTCAGTGGTCTCTTGGATGGCAGCAACACCGTACAGTTCCTTGTGCCTCAGTCTTCTGCTAGTCACAGTGCTTTCCAACTCTTCTTGGCTCTTAGTTTTTCCAACATTTTCTGCAAATAAAACAAACCATGAGGCTACAGTATGTAGCTTCTGTGACTACACTAGAAACTGTAACACTGGAGAGAGCTGAGGTACTGCTCCTGTACAACCTGAGCATCAGTAATGGGACTGCGCAAGGCTGGACAGTGAGGTCAGTTACTGCTGCTGCTCCAAAAAACCCACAAATTTCACTACAGCCACAGTGTTGACAAGGAAATTCTGAAGTGGGATATGCCAATAGCATCACTTAAAATCCAGACTGGTTGGATGGTCTCAGTTGTACTCATACCACAGAACTCTCACATTACTGAGTAGAACCTCATTGAAGTGATGAGAACTAACAAGCTAAAAGATGACCCTGTAGCAGGCTATTACCTTTTGAAACTCTTTAGCCTTTTCTCTGTTTTTAGCACAAGTTTCTTGTCTTGTTTTTTCCTCCTTTCTGATTTTTACTTCTGCAAGTTGATTATAAAGCCTGTCAAAAGAGGAAGGAAAAAAAAGTGTCAGGAAGAAAGCAGCAAAGCTGGAATAAGTTAACAAGCTTAAGGGTTTATACCATCTCAAGTGCTAGAAATGAAGAAAGGAAGTTTTTGACTCATCTCTCCAGTAATCTAGAATCACTTCAAATTCAGCTTCAGCTGCATCTAGCAAACACCCCATTCAGCAGTTGTACTTGCTGCATGTTACCGTTAATAAGTGCCCATGTACAACTGTGAAGTTCAAATTTAATATATGACACTGGATTAACTGTCAGAGCTGTCTTAGCACAAGGAACTGAGCAGGCTGCTGGTCATGGTTCTTATGCCAGCTGTGCACGGGCATTTCTGTTGGGAAATGTATCAAACACACTTGGTTCCTCTCTCCCAGCATTTCAGTGTTAAGCAGCATTCCCCTAGGGTCCAACTGGAAGACCACAAAGTGCTCTGCCTGACCAGTAGCTTTCACAAGACGCAGATGAACTACTTCTGTTTTTTTAATCCAAACTTCTCCCACTTGTGTTCTTGCCATACCTTGAAGTACACTGGTGCATTTCAATTTCTCCAGACTTCCTGTTCTCTGGAGAAGACACCTTCACTTCTCCTACTTTCTTCAACTGATTGGCAACTGCATCTTTTTTCCCTAAAAGAAAAAAAAAAAAGGCAAAAAAAAGGCCAAACCTATCTTAAATTTAAATCTCTGTCCCAGCTAACTCAAAATCATGAGAGGTTTTCAAAGATTTTTAAAATGACCTTACAAAAAAAGAAATAAGCTAGCAGAATGGACACAACAGAGATGTCTTGTGTTAAAAATAAATCTTCACAGTCTCACTCACGAGGCTGCTACCTGTACTTTAGCCCAGCCACGCTTCTCACCCGCCAACTTCCAGCTCCCCATTAACAGACACTAGATGCATCAGTTTGCTTAATATGGTGGTTCTTTGATAAACAACTAATAGTTCCAGAGACACCTTATGATCACAAACGTGGGCAGATTGTGAAAATATGAAGAGGACCTATCAGGGCCTTTACAACACTGAAGAGGTAACCAGACAGTGGGGAAAAAAAAAGCTCCCTGCATCCCTGAGAAAGCAAATTAAAAGAAAATCCCAGTCTACAATAGTAAAGATGCAACAAATGTGAAATCTATTCTTTGATGTGAAACATCAACTAAAAGGATACCTAATGCTATGTCCTGTCCCCAGATAAACCTACCACATATAAGAGGAGGCTCCTTTTGCCTGCTTAACTTCTCAGACTTTCCTCTTTGAGACTGTCTAGCTTCCAGCTTTTCATTTTCTCTCTCTTTATTTTTTATTTCTTCTACTCTTTTCAGAGATTTCTGGATGAAGTTCTTCTTTCTTTTTAAAAAAGATTCTTGCAAGCTTCCTGGTGTAGCTGTAAACTCCAGCAGCATCACTGTGAAAGAAAATGGAAAGTCTGAAAATTTCTCATGTTCAGCAACGAGCAATATCATCTCTAGTATGTCATGCATTTCAATGTATTTGTCCTAAAGTGCTGAGCTTGACTACTTCATAAATCACACCAGAAGAATGGCGTTGCGAATGATGAGTAACCTTGCAAAACAAGCAGCAATTCAGACCTATGGAATCTAATAACTGTGAGCAGGTCTGCCAAGACAAATACTGTGAGAAATACTGCATCGAAAGCGTCTTCATGCCTCAAAACATATCAAAGACCTAAGAAGTCCCTAACATGGTTAAGTTCTGTCAATTCCCATCTTTCATGCTACTGCTGTTCATCTTGGACAAAAAATATTTCAGTATTGTACTGATGTTCCACAGTACCATCAGAATAGAAAAAAAGACACTCTTTGGCTCCAGAGCTTGGGGACTAACAGGGGAAAAAAAAAAACAAGTGAAGGTGCATAAACCATATGACAACAAACCACAAAACACCCAAGAATTTTTCAAAATTGAGATATTACAACACAAAAAAACCCAGTGTAATGCAGATATTAATAACCCTCACAAAAGACAGCCTGGCATAGGAAGAGACAAGTCAATACTTCCTTGTCAATAAGACCCATATTAAACCTGGGTCAAATGTACTACAAACCAAGCCTGGACAGCAAGATGCACTTGCCTAAGTAAAAGAAGCTCTAGGTTTTCCAAAGAAGAGATGTATTTTATTGATCATTTTAATACTACAAATAAAAACCTTCTCTATCTCAACTTCAGTACACTGAAATTACACATTATTAATTACCTGCAGTCTGATGTGATGGAAAGTGACTGTCACTGGGACTCTGAGCTTTGGAAGAACTGTCAGGCCTTATGAACACTGAATAATCCACATCTGGAGCTAGTGGTAAAAATTCTCTCTCCTGTTTCAGAAGGAATCAGTGATTGGAAATGCTTGAAATACACCACAAATTTGAATGAAGTGGTAGTGCTGTACCACTGGCATAGACCCGATGCCTTTATAGCAGATACAAGAAAAACATCAGAAGTGGATCTTGATAGTAAGTATGAAAAAGCTACTTTCTAGCAACATTTTAAAACTTTAAAAAAATCCATTAAAGACCCTTTGCCCATTAGTTTTCAACTGCTTGTTCTTAATTCAGGACTACATAATTTAATCACAACTGATCTCTTTTTCTTTCCTCCCATTCTCTCTGGTTCTCCCCATCACTACCTTACTGTTCTCTCTCTTTTCCCCATTCTCAGCTGGAAGGCAACACCCACTGCAGAAGTACCGCCGCCAGCTGCCAACCTCCACCTTACCCACATTTCAATTATTTTATAAAGACCCATCCTTAGGCACTTTTAGGATCTTCTCCAGATGTGTGACAACCTGATCGTATTTTCCCCATAAACCTCAAACTGCTGTGTGGGCCTGGTGCAGCTCTACCCACTAAGCTGGGGATTTTCCCTTTTTTTCCTGTTTAATTTGTAGCTTTTGTTTTGTCCTACCCTCTCCTCTCATTCAAGTCTTTACCTAATGGGATACAACTTGGCCTTGCAAACACCAGCAAGACAGTTATGTTTCTCAGCAGAAGTCTTCCCAAATTCTATCTACACTGATAGGACAAGGTAGTGATTTCAA